TTATTATTATTATTATTATTATTTCCCTCAAAGAGTATATGTGTCCCAAAACATAATCTTCTAAAAGTATCAGTGCAGTGATTTCTTCTGGTGTGACAAGGCAGCCTCAAGTCTTATGCTACCCACATAAATATGTGTGTATATATACGTGTGTCTGTGTATGTGCTTAAGACTATTTTCACTGGATCGGTAGAATCTTCTTGTCAGAAGAAGCAGGAATTGATGGGACTGGTTTCATGCCAACATTTCAAACAGTTTGACTGCTCCTTATCTTGTTATAGATACTCTACTATTATTCCATTTTAAGTTCAGATTTTTTAAAATGCCATTCCATAAGATGTGTGTGTGTGTGTGTTTCAGACTTTAATTTTATGAGTTTGCTTCGCTACATGTAGCTTCTGAGACAAGCAATAAGAGGAGTGAGATATTTTCTGAGGGTTTTTTTAGACAGATATTCAGTACACTGTGATGACTTTAAGGGGCTTTTATTTTCTTTCAGTAGAAGTTTTGCATGCAATTTTTTTTTTTAATTAGCTTTTAAAATTGCTGACAACAACTATGTGAAACTTGTCAATACTTTCCACTTCCATTGGTTCTGATAGTCTAAAATGTTTATTGCAAATCATTAAAAATGAGAGGTAGGTATATAGTGGGATATTTTCAAGTGAAAACATGATTTAATTAATTTGTATTTTCTACAGCCAACAACCAAAATATTAAAAAAGGAGCACAGCTCACAAAAGGTGTACAGACCAGTGGATACTTCTCACCAGTAGAATTTCTTCCAGAATCAGAACTTGTCTGTGGTGACACAGTAAACAAGAAAGAAGGGATTCTTCCTAAAATAGTGAGTTCCGTAAAAATTTGAGACTTGCTCCAGATGACTCACCTATCAGACTGAGTGTTTAATGCAGAGCTTGTATTTTTAGAAAATGTGTAAATACACAAATATAAATATATAGAAAATATAATTTTAAAAAGTCTGATCTTCAGGAGAACTCTGCTGTTCCAGAAATAGCATACTCCATTTTTGTGATGCTTGGTTTGTCATATTCTATGTTTTATTGATAACCATTAGCTCGATTTGTTTCTTTTTCTGCCACTGTAATTTCTTTGAAGTTTTTAAGATTTCATTTTTATTCTCTTCCCTTTTCTTTATTTCTAATGCTTATTTGAGCAATCTGTTGTAACAGTGCTGGCTGCCTTGTCTCTGTTTTTTCTTTGGTCTTTATTACGGTTTGTTTTACTTTCCAGATTTATTTCACAATGCATAAATCTAACACTTCCTCTTATTGTCATAGTGCTGGTATTTCTTCTGTTGTTTTTCCAGCTTTGTGAATATGGTTGGATTTTTTTGTTTTTCCATTTCCCTTTTTTATTGTAAAATAGTACCATTAGAAGTACTGCTAACACTTCTGTGACCTCAGGCTAAAATCAAAGAGATTTGTAAGGTATTACAAATCAGAGTGACACAGATGATGGTACAAATTGTACAAATTCTGATTACGTAAGGTTAGGGCTATTTGTCAGAAATAGCTCTGATGGTGGTCTTGACTGGCTTCCTGGTAGGACTGAAGCTTTTCCATGGCTGTTTCATTCATATGTTCTCTGTTCCAAAATCCTTTCTGTAAGCGTGGATGTAGTTTGGTGTATGCGTTCTTCCAGCATATACTTCAGTGTGTGAGTTACAGAGCCACCCAGTTGGTACAAGTGCAGGTCATGAGGTCCAACTCCATGTCATCGTACAAGCCTCTCTGGTTCATGTATGGCTATTGCTTTAAGTTACGTGAATTGGGTTTGGGTAGCCTGTGCTTTCATCAGTTTTCTAATTCAAGCGTTTTAAATACTTGGCTACCATCTCTTCATGAAGTTTATTTTTGTTTTAAATATAATAATGATAATTTTGTACATGAAGGGAAAATACTTGAAGTTGTTTGGCTAATGATTATATTTTCGTTGTTCATTAAGTAGTAACTGTTTATCTTATTTCTCTTAGAAATGTGTTTTAGTCTATAAGCTTATTTTGCTCTAAAATAAGCACAAGCCACAAAGTTAGCATCCACACATTGGATTGCACCATCTTTCTCTCACTTCATGGCCACTACTTTTCTGTCAGTGATTTTTTGCTGCTAACATTAATATCTCTTCTGCAGGTTCTTTCCTTTTAAATGTGTATGTATACTCAGTAGCTGAATTTTTCAGCCGAGATTAAACTCTTTCACTGTTTGTGACTTAATACTCCATAACTTTACGTATCACTGTGAAGCAGTCTGAATATACAACCCACTCACTTCAGTAAAAAGATAAGATTGTGGAAATAGAGGGTAGCTAGTTCCTTGCTTGTTAAAAGAATAAGGTGGGGGGGGGTCTGGCCTTCCATTAAAGTCTTTAGATGTCAGAAGTTGTCTTTTTCAAAGAGAGCTACGCTAACACAGTGATAATTTTGCTTTGTGACACTGGAGCTGCAACTTTCCTGAGCCTGTAATACAGAATAGAATTGATTATCTGTTTATTTTGTTTCAGGTGCATAAAACTATGCTGAAGGTGATAAAATTTTAGGGCCAAACCTTGGGGTTGTCAAAGCTGGTTTGGTTCAAATGACCTGCTTGTTTTTATGTTTAGCATATGAGGTAGAATGTGATTTCAGAATGACGTAAGTTCACGTGATTTTGTTTGTTTGTTTTATTGGTTATTTTTTCCCCCATCAGTTTCAGTTTTGTATGAATTTATTTCAGGAAAAAGAAACTCAAGACAAAGGATGGAAAGAGCAAGGAGACCCGCTAAGACAAGACCAAAACAGGGAAAGGGAAGAAAAACTGAAACGTTTTCAGGAAATACAGGCTTTAGAGGAGAGAGTTCAAAAACTTCATGATGGTAAGGAAAGGGGCAGCTGAAGGCTGGAAAATGCACCATAGAATACTAATCACGTGAGGCTGCTAGTTTCCTGCGAGAAGAGCAAAATGATTTTGCAGAGATCACTACAGTGGAAAATTATTTTCAGTCACATTATGCAAAGAGAATCAGAAAGAAATACAGGCTATAGAATAATCTGTGCCCTATACTCAGCTGTGATTAAGTATGCAGCAGCAAAACATACTGTCCCTGAAACAGTATTGAAGCCTGAGAGATTTTGCTGTGCAAAACAAGGATGATAGAGCAGGTAAATGCTGATGTTATCTCTGACTTGCTGGATGTTATTGAGGTAGACAGTAGATTTTTGCTGTCGTAGAGCAAATCTGTTTTCCTTAATACGGCCTGTTTTTCAGTACATACCTGCTTCACTTGTATCATTTGAAATTGTAGTTTCTCTCTTCCCTTGTGGTTATCTGAATCATTTGGTGTGGCTGTTTGAGAAATGTCAGTTTCTATCATATTTTAATACTGCTTTCTTACTAGTTTAGATTTCACAACGTCTTAATGACTTACATTCATAAGCCTCTTAATCTAAAGTATTTTAGATGGACTGCATCCTGTCATGTTAAAATACTCTGTCAGTGATTGTAGTTAATGAACAGTAACACTTATTCTAGTTGACAAGGAAGAATTCTAAAATTCCATACCGGCTTTCAGAGGTAAATTCTGTGAAAAATCTTCTACCTCAGCTGGCATCAGTGCACAACTTACGTAAGCCAAGAATCTGCTCTGTTGTGTCTCCAAGTAAGATGATTTGACCATCTTACCCATCTTACAGTATAAGCTGATCTTTTCCCCACCTTACATACAGAAAGGTAGCTCCTTACTTAACTTCATATAATGATAATTAAATGTATTAACTGAGCTGTTGCAGTTATTTTGGTGATCTTGGTCTGAAGTACAATAGGTAACATGGAACTTTGTGGAAACATCAGTCAGAAATTTGAATAAAGTGTTCAAAGGGGAATGCCAGTACATTGAAGGGGCTAAGTAGGCATATTCAACTTTTGGCCAAACACATGTCTGTTGTCTTGATAGCAAAATATTTTGAAGAGAGAAATATTTCAGAAGCTTCCTTTTCCTTGTACACATAAGTGTTTCAGGTTCTATCTAGAAGTTTATTACTGTTTTGCACCTTTGGTGTCCTTTTATAGCTGTGCAAACTGACATTTGGTATCTGCACAGACACTCTCATTGAGTTCACGTGGTGGTGCACAGAGCACTCTTGTGGAGGTGTTTTCTGTATGCAGCAGGTGCAGTATATTTTAAATCATTCGCTACCTGAACCTGGTAATGACTCCTGTGACTTTGTGGCCCAATAGCTTCACAGGAGCAGTTCCCTTTATGGAAAAAAAAAAACAAACGTATATCCCGGAACCATCTTAATGTCAGTGGTGCTGACAAAGAAAAAAAAAGTACCATGCAAGTCAGAACTATTAAAATCTGTGATGGTTGTATTCATTTTCATTCAAACCCAGGAAATGGGAAGGCAATTGGCAGAAATGAAATTCCTCCTCTTTGCTAAATACCTTAGCAGAGAACCTGGTGTGAATTTAGTTGTAATCTTTGAAGAATTTTTTTTTGCAGTAGGAAAACCACATTACACATAGAAGAGTATATTAAAAACTCAATGGCTTTTGCTTGTGCTATTTTCAAAATATTCTTGTAAAGGCATTTTAAAACTAAAACATTTTAAATAATGCTTAAACATTTCCTGCAGAGTGGGAAAGGGAAGAATATGACAAAATGAAAAAAGAAAGCAGCTTTTTATTGGATAAAGAAGAGAAAACTAAGATGGAGACAGAACTCCACAAACCTGAAGTAGAGAGAGAAAGCACTGAAATGCTGGAAGAGCAGCGGAAAAGAGAGTTCCTGCTTGCTAAAATGCAAGAGATTGATAGAGAAACTCAAAATGTAACAGACATGAAACCTGCTTCCCAAGCACCACTCATAAATACAGCAAGAAAATCTGATTCTATGGAGAAAAAAGACAAAAATAATCAATTCTTTGAGATTCCTGGCAAGGTTACTAATGGATTTCCTGTAGATAGCAGCCCGGATGATGCCACAAGAGCACAAGGGCAGAAGCAACAAAATCTGAGGACCGTAGATTTAAGTAGTGAGTTAACATTTGGTAGTTATGTACCTTCCTTTGGGAAGGCATCAGGGAGACCGAGTTGGCTTACTCAAAAAAGTGACAACTTCGAAGAAACTGTTAAGGAAAAAGCAGATTTCAATGATAAGAAAGAAAAGAAGTCCAGTTTAATGGAACAACTGTTTGGAAGCAGTGCCAGTAACATCCTTGTTTCTAAAAATAACGATACAACACCTTTTGACATAGATTGGGACTCTAGTAATACTCTTCTCGTCAATAAAAACAGTAAAGTCAAAGTAAAAGAAGCCAATGAGCTTTTTGGTGAAGGAAGAAACCTAAACAGACACCGTTTGCAGCACACTACAAGCAAGCTAGGGGTTAAGACCCTTGGTTCTTTAGAAGATGACATCGAAGAAGTAATCTTACAGTGATCATACTTTTATATGTTTCATATGTAAATACTGAAAAAATATTTTCATGTAATATTTATTAGATACAGATTTGAAACGTTTCAGATATATTGTAAAACCTTATGAAGGAATAATTTACATAAATGGGTATATGTATAGAGGAAAGATGCACTTTGATAGAACAGCCTAACCTATACGTAGGAAATTTCTTTTAAAATGTAATAGCCAAATACAGGCCTTGGAGATGTGGCAGTGACTCTTTTTGGCAGAAAGACAGGGAAGGCATCCTGAGGGACATCGAAAGATAAGAGAGGCGCTGGCTGGCCGCTTCAGTCAATCGGAGAAGATGTTCTTGCCCCAACTCAGGCTCCAGACCGACTGTCACTGTTGCCATGTGGCGCCATCTGACCTGTGCAGCTGTAGCTCAGGGTCCCGGAGGCTCGGTAGCGCGGAGCTGGTAGGGATGCCATAGGAATGGAAGGACTTGCAGAGGCTTACGCTCACTTGCGCTCTTTGCTCCCACCCTCTCTCTCACCCTTCATGCTCCCTTGTTGCTCCATTGTTGCTCTCCTGTGTGCTCACA